GATCCTAACTTCTCCGGGGATAAAGCCAAAAGGATTGGACTTTACTCTTATAGTAGCCTCCATTAAGTCAAGTCTTGACAGTGTTTTTTTTTTATGTTTCAATGTAGCCTCCACAAGAATCCCCAATGTGGCGCAAGGTCGTGTTGTCCCAGAGATTAAGGGGAAGGTTACGGATTTTTATCCATCCTCCATATGAAGGGACCAGGGGCGTGGAGGAAGGATCAAGATCATTCCATGCCATGAATTTGAGTTGGGTATCTCCCACTTGATACCAATCCTTTAATTGACAGAGAGTGAGACCCTGTTCTCTATCCTCACATCGAAGGAGAGCCTTGTCTGCTGTAAAGGGATTGAGGGTGCATAACGTACTGATATGTGCTCGGAGGGCTCTATTTATCTTGAACCAGTCATCATGGAAGTATATTCGGATGACAATAATGGAGGAATCTAGTTGAGGATCTGCTTCTCCATAATCATCACCGATGGATGGCTTTTGTTTTTTCTTCCTGTACTGTGGCGTGGGTGGAGTGGGTAGGGGGTCAAGTTTCTGTTTGCCTTGTATAATCGCTTCACGGTAGGTCAAAGGGCCGTTAGCAATTGATATGTTGGGTTGAGCAGAGGTGGTAGGTGTGTTATTAATGGGCTGGGTTGGTGGGGGAGGTTGTTGGGGCGGATCATGGAGGAGTCTGTAAAAGGCTTTCCATCTCTTCCTTTCTTCACCGATGGGAATCAGAATTTTGGTAAGACCTCCATTAATGTCCAGCTTAGCAATCTCTGCAAGGTAGCCTTTTCTATTACTCGACTTTTCAACCCAGATGGTTTGGTCGTTTATATGTGTCTCCTTGAAAAACTTCTGGTTAAGAGGGGAAGATATGAGGGTAGAGAAGACAGTCTTAAGCCAAGCTATGGATGACTAGTGAAGGGAGATGAAGAAAGCTCGGTCTTTGTTGGCTTCTGTGATGCGGACTCTACTTCCTCGATATCTATGATCAGTGATGATGGAAAAACCCTTCCTTTCGATGGTGATGGTGGTGGGGCGAGAATGGGGAGGGTGAGCCATGAGGAGAGCAAGGGGAGTCTACTGAGCGAGGCATGGATAGGCTACCGGAGAAGCTCTGGCGGTGGGGAGAGGAAAGGAGAGAGCATTTTTTGAGGTGATTGAATAATTCAAATAAGTAGGCTAAATTATTGGGAATTGCAATTGCTTAGTTATTTATTCCTTATTCTGCAAGTTATTAATATAATTTCATTTATATTCTTTACTCAATTAAAATCAACCATGTAAATTTTAGATTCTTCATACTGCCATGTTTTGATCGTAGATGGTCTCATTATGAAAGCCAGACCATTCAAAGAGAATATCCAATACCCATATTTGATTTAATGGTTTTATTATTTGTGATAATACTCCTGAATGATGCTGAAGAGCATATATTTGCTTTCAGAAATGTGCTTGTCAAAGGTGGGGACCTTCCCGATTCGTTGGATGCTGTTGATATATTCTTTGATGGTGAGTATAAATTGCAAAATTCTGAGAACTTGATATATTGTATGAAGGAAACTGATTGTTGAACCTAAATTTTGAACTAATATTTACAGGAAAGGACCTACATGAGCTATGTTCTTCGCGCATAAAGACTCGCAACACTCATGGTACTGGATGCACTTTAGCATCTTGCATAGCAGCTGAACTTGCAAAAGGGTCTTCGATGTTCTCAGCTGTTAAGGTGAGAATCTATGGCCTTGTTCTTATAAGCTCACCATTAATAACTTTCTCCCATTAGATGATGAAGAAAGTCTCAAGGGCTAATGATATAACTATGGATAATGAAATCCATAAAAAATTTTTATAAACCATTTTCAATTTGGTTTAGGATAATAGTTGCCTCCAAATAATGCCATATCACTGGGCATATTCACTCACCTAGTAAGGGCTTCGAGATGTTTGGAGATATCTTCCAAGATTGTTGGCTCAAGCCCCGAGGTCGAAGTTTAATAACTTTAAACTCTTCTTGTTTTTCAATGGACGGGAGGACTGGAGCTCCCTGATACTGCAATTGGTTTGTATTGAATGCATCAATCAAAAGAAAAACAAAAATGAGTTTACTATGGTTGTCTCTTAATCCCCCAATTGGGAGTTTTGAATTCTTTGATTATTTTTTGAATTTTTGCATGAAATAGAAACATCACTTGATTGACTCTTGGTTGTTGATAAACAAACTTGACGATCCATAACTTTAGGTTTGATTTATCTGGATCTTTACAGACAAGTAAATGGTTTATTGAAAGAGCCTTGGATTACAGCAAAGACATTAGCATTGGAAATGGACCACAAGGCCCATTTGATCACCTATGTCAGCTCAAGACTCGTGACCGGAGTTCCCACAGCCAGCGGGGTTTTAATCCAGCTGACTTGTTCTTGTATGCTGTTACGGATTCAGGTATGAACAAGCGGTGGGACCGTTCTATCACGGATGCTGTTAAAGCTGCAGTGGAAGGAGGTGCTACTATTGTTCAAATAAGGTTTGTCAAATGTCTTCTATTAATCAATTTGTTATTCTGTCTTTATAAACGTTTTTCACAAGTTGACATATTTTTCAATTCATTACCTCAAAAGCCTAATATGAGACTTGTTGCATTTTTACATCCTTCTAAGCATCTCCTCAGTTGTTTAAAGGTTAAATGGCATTAAAACTACTCATAAATTATAGGCTAGTACGAAATTGTAAACTATTGAATGTTGTAATTAACTCTCTCACATTCTTTTGCAAGAAGTTTAATACTTGTATTCAATTTTTAATGTTCTAGTAAGGCTGAGTGTTCTCTTATTTACATGAACAGGGAAAAGGATGCCGAAACTTGCAATTTCTTGGAAGCAGCCAAGTCATGCCTGGAGATTTGTCGCGCACACGGAGTTCCATTGTTGATCAACGATCGCGTCGATGTTGCTCTCGCTTGTGATGCTGATGGTGTGCATGTTGGTCAATCCGACATTCCTGCCCATGCGGTTCGCAGCCTTCTTGGCCCCAATAAGATCATCGGTGTCTCGTGCAAGACACCAGAGCAAGCAGAACGGGCATGGCTTGATGGTGCAGATTACATTGGGTGCGGTGGAGTTTATCCCACAAATACAAAAGCGAACAATCTGACTGTTGGGATTGATGGATTGAAAAGAGTTTGCTTAGGTTCCAAGTTGCCTGTGGTTGCAATTGGTGGTATTAACCATACAAATGCAGCAGCTGTGATGGAAATTGGTGTTCCAAATCTTGAAGGTGTTGCAGTTGTCTCAGCTCTTTTTGATAGGCAATGTGTTTTAGAAGAGACATTAAAGTTACATGCAAGGCTAGTAGAGGCTACATCAGCTGTTAAATAAATGAGAGACGATAGTGTAACGACTCGACTCTTGGACGACTCTGATGAATGCTTGTACTGCTTATAGTATTTTTGTAAGCTTTTTGATAGGGAATTGAAATAATTGTTCATAATATGAATACAATGTGACAAAAAAGTGAATTTGGGATAGTGGAAAATTTTGCAGGAATAAGAATTGAAATAGGGGAACGGGACGGGAAAGAGTTTCCAATCCCCACTTAGTGATCGCCCCTAATGTCCTCAATCAATGGCGTAAGCAACATGGTTCAAAGAAGCAAACCTTAATTTATTATTGTTGCGGTATTTTTAAAATTATTGTTTTTAAACAAGTTTATTAGTTCTATATATATATATATATATATATATACATTTTTGACCTTTTAACAATGTAAAGTAAATAAAATATAATTTGTAATTTGAACATATAAAAATATAAATAATTAAAAAAAATTAGAGAAACGTAAAAAACTAAAGTTATTAAATAAAACGTCTAATTGTATATGGAGCACCAGTGGTCTAGTGGTAGAATAGTACCCTGCCACGGTACAGACCCGGGTTCGATTCCCGGCTGGTGCAGAAATTTGATATCCAGCCATGAAGAAATTCGTGCCGTCCGTGATTGTGGGTCGATCACAACCGTCTGATCCCAGGCGAAAGATTTGGCGCATCCGAGCTGGATTTTCCTTTTCGTTTTAATTTTTTTGGAAAATGTTATTATTTATTAAACTTTTAAAGTCACTTTATAAACAGAAAGTCGTTGTAGTATAGTGGTGAGTATTCCCGCCTGTCACGCGGGTGACCCGGGTTCGATCCCCGGCAACGGCGCTTTTTATTTTCATTTTATATTTATCAACCAACAATTATTTCCCTTAACATTTTCCTATGTCGTTACTGTTATAACAATTATTTCCCCTAATATTTAACCAATAATCAGAATTATCTTTCAAAGTTTTATATCTATTTCAAGTTGTTTAATTTATATTTTCTGAAAAT